TGATATACCTTGTATGATAATACTAAAGATTGGTTATGATTACACAAGTAAACAACGAATCTGACTTTAAAACATACAAATGCTAGGAAAAAGTTCAGAGATAACCACGAGAAGTGAATTTATATAAAACTATGATGCCTCAAGTAGATCTCGAGATATTTATTTACATGATTATCACACTACTTTACATACGTCTTACCTAAGAAGAACATGTTTTATTTTTGATAAAATTAACATATCCTGCTTGTTTGAAAATGTTATTTTTTTCTTTTTAAGGCAAAGCTACAGAATAGACAATTACCTGTGCTCTGCCTACCGCGGAGTATGAAACCCTGAATTTTAGCGTTGTAAGTTTGTAAACTTACCGCTGAACCACCAGGGACATTAATTACTGAAAATGATAATTGTATTAAACAATCCTGCATAAGCTATTATAAATTACACTTTCAGCTTTGTTTTTTATTGAATATATCATCACTAAGCCTATACCTCTTGTCAAAATATCATTGTGTTATACTAGTTAGATTTTTTTTTAAATAAATAAAATAGTAACAACAAAACAAACATTCAACATAGGGGCACTGTATCGAATTTATTCTTATGTATTTATTTTTAATATGTACGTTGTTTAGGTTAAATTTGTATTTAAAAATATGCATAACTTGTAATGTCAAATATGTATTGCGTATAACGAATTTGTTATATATTTATTTTAATCGCAAAGTTTGTTTGGAATGAGTTTATCTTTAAAAACGTGCCTAGCTTATAGTATTAATTATGTATTCCCGCCAATTCTCCAAGATTGTAGAATATTCGTGAACGCAAGAATCGACAATATATCCACTTCCGTAACCGGTTGTGTCTTACAAGTGTCTTAAAAAAATTCTGCAATTGTTCACAGATGTCTTTCAAGATACTCGTTGGTGGGCAGAGTATAGATAGCCCTTGTGTAGCTTAGTGCTTAATAACAATATATATATATATTTCATATTTTTATCACTTGAAGTCAACGTCGAAAAATCTATTAATTTGTTAACAGACGGTGTTCGGGTTCATTAATGAGCCAATAATTCTTTCTAGTATCATCAAAAATATGGAACCCCAGTGGCACAGTGGTATGTCTGCGGACTTACAACGCTAGAAACCGGGTTTAGATACCCGTGGTGGGCAGAGCA